ACAGTACTCTTCAAAGGGTTCACGAAATATGACTACTACTCTTACTGTTTAACATGTTGGGTTACTTGATATTATTTCATATTAAGGCTAATAAAAATGACAAGGCTGTAATGCTAACTAACGTGCTAGCTACTAGCTAGGTAGCTAACTTGATCCAGCCACTCCTGGTCCTTTCATCAGACGGGAAGCGAAAGAACGAGCAAGACCCATTGCTGGTATGATAACAACCTGGTACTAAGCACACAGGCATCTTGTTAAAGTTATCTTATCTTAGCTATCGCTTATATTTAGCGGAGGAAAACAATTGTGACATCACTTACGCGACTCTGGGATTTGTAGTCTTTCTAGTTGCGTATTTTTCATAGTCTTATATTTCAACAGTTTTACGACAAACTTTGATTTTTTTGACATAGAGATTATTTTGTAAGATTGACAAACATCATATGTGTAATTCATGGCACAATTCAAACGGGATCGAAAGATAAGTGTTCTCTCTCCATTGACTTCAATACATAATTTTTCCAAAATTAGGTCCCATGGACCGGAAGTAGATGGGCGTGACTTCGCCACTCTATACATTTAAAGCTAATCTGCATTTAAACATAACATTTCCGGGGTAAATACTGACTTGACGTAAGTAACTATCTGGGGAAGTTGTGAGGTGGTGTGTTTTTTAGTTGTATCCTTTTCACCTGCAATGCCTTGGTAACTGCATGCAAATTAGCGCATTTTAATTAGGCCTAGTTAACGCCTAATTTGCATATTGTATAAAACTCTCCCATTACTTGGACTATTCCTTGCACCCCCTAGCATAAGCCCGAATGGTTTCAACCATATTGCAGCACTAACGTGCACTTGTTGTCGTAACAACATCGCAAGGACACGAGTAGCGATCGGACAAATGTTTTCATTTTGTGTGTTGTGGACATGCGTGTGCGTGCATGAAAATGTAAGTGCATATATTCTTGCCTAGTTCAGTTATTGGTGGGTTGATGTTCATAATACAGAGCTTACTCTGCAATAGAAGGCAGTTAGCAATAGCCGCTAACTTTGCCATGCTGACTATGGGACAGCACGAGGTGCGGCCGCACCAGGCACCTCACCTTGCATAATGAACAATGTAACGCCAAGTTGATGCAGGGGCCAATGTATGCAGTGTTCTTTATATTGTAGTCATTATAGAGACTTCATTGTGTGCATTCCTGTATGTTGTTCATGCGTGATTGTTTACAATAGTTCATTACTTTATGCAATAACGTGTCATTTCAATCGCCATTCTGTTGCGGCCTTTGGCCAATAGAGGGCAGCATAGGCCATGCTAATTGTGCCATTTCTTTATCTACCTAATTTACTGTGGAACAATGTGACTGGTCATTATCCCTCTATAATACATGTTTATTCATACCTGTTTATCTTTATGTTACAGATACCACACCCATCCAATTACCATTGCATGTAAAATTCACTACCCTGGAAATCAATAAAGTAGTTAAATTGGAACATCCTGTGGAAAGCCATTCTTCCTTGCACGTCCGGGACACCTTCTAACAGAGGACAGGAAAATCTAGCTGCAGCACGACCCGTATACTTTTGCACGCCGTGTTCTCAACACATATCAATGTGGCGATTGTGATGACGATTAGTTACACATAATAACGTCATCCTCTTTTGGATCTTTTCAAATCCAAAAGAGGTAGGTTTGTGCGTGTTAGGTGTATGAGTGTGTGTGTAAATTAGGTAATCAGTAGAAATGGAACCACAGTAATTACAGGTATAAACCATGTATTTCATATATTGCATCACTTTTTGCATTTTTCACAAAAATTGTTCATACAATGTTCAGTCACTTTAGTGCTTGGTTTGTAGCAGACTTGGCTTTCTTGAGATGTTCAGGGTCTGTTGAAGACTGATGAAGACTGACTAGAAGACAGTGACAGATTGAGTTTCTGTGTATAAAACCCCACCTGCAGTAATGTGCCTGTTAAAAAGGCCCTACTGAGCTTTACCTTTCCTGTTTTGTGTGCATGTAAATGGTCTCCAAAGGCTAAAATCTCTGTGTTCCCTCCATAATGAGTTTTAACTGGCTGATTTTCATTTTGACCACAAATCCTCAGGTCTGCTTCCTTAATCACTCACAATTCACGGTCCAGTATTCGCAACAGTTACTGGTAGAAGACGAGGTAATTCCCACTTTGTTGGACCATTATGGCGGTTCAGGGTCACAACTTGTCAATAAACTTGATTACCGGTTGATTCATGTTCGAAATGAACAATGAAGCTACTTCTGGGGGTTTAAGTGAAGTTGCAAACACAATGTTAGTATCGGCTAGGTTGTGATACATGAAGTATAAAAGCTAACGTTAGGCTATAAAATAACTACACCACCGCTAAGCTAAAGGAGGCTAATGTTGGGCTATCAAGGAACTACGGCACGGTCACATGACTTCACGTCGCCACCGCTAAGCTAAAGGAGGCTAATGTTGGGCTATCAAGGAACTACGGCACGGTCACATGACTTCACGTCACCACCGCTAAGCTAAAGGAGGCTAATGTTGGGCTATAAAGGAACCACAGCACGGTCACATGACTTCACGTCTCCACCGCTAAGCTAAAGGAGGCTAATGTTGGGCTATAAAGGAACCACAGCACGGTCACATGACTTCACGTCTCCACCGCTAAGCTAAAGGAGGCTAATGTTGGGCTATAAAGGAACTACGGCACGGTCACATGACTTCACGTCTCCACCGCTAAGCTAAAGGAGGCTAATGTTGGGCTATAAAGGAACCACAGCACGGTCACATTACTTCATGTCTCCACCGCTAAGCTAAAGGAGGCTAATGTTGGGCTATAAAGGAACCACAGCACGGTCACATGACTTCACGTCTCCACCGCTAAGCTAAAGGAGGCTAATGTTGGGCTATAAAGGAACTACGGCACGGTCACATGACTTCACGTCTCCACCGCTAAGCTAAAGGAGGCTAATGTTGGGCTATCAAGGAACTACAGCACGGTCACATGACTTCACATCACCACCGCTAAGCTAAAGGTGGCTAATGTTGGGCTATAAAGGAACTACGGCACGGTCACATGACTTCACGTCACCACCGCTAAGCTAAAGGAGGCTAATGTTGGGCTATAAAGGAACCACAGCACGGTCACATGACTTCACGTCTCCACCGCTAAGCTAAAGGAGGCTAATGTTGGGCTATAAAGGAACCACAGCACGGTCACATGACTTCACGTCTCCACCGCTAAGCTAAAGGAGGCTAATGTTGGGCTCTAAAGGAACTACAGCACGGTCACATGACTTCACGTCACCACCGCTAAGCTAAAGGAGGCTAATGTTGGGCTATAAAGGAACTACAGCACGGTCACATGACTTCACGTCTCCACCGCTAAGCTAAAGGAGGCTAATGTTGGGCTCTAAAGGAACTACAGCACGGTCACATGACTTCACGTCACCACCGCTAAGCTAAAGGAGGCTAATGTTGGGCTATAAAGGAACTACAGCACCGGTCACATGACTTCACGTCTCCACCGCTAAGCTAAAGGAGGCTAATGTTGGGCTCTAAAGGAACTACAGCACGGTCACATGACTTCACGTTCAAAAGGCAAAAGCATGCAGGTTTATGTCAAAAAAACAAAACTTAAATTGAATGTTTTTATTAGATCAATCCAAAATATAAGGCAAAATGTACATACATCTTTAAAATAAAAATAAATCTGATAATCATCACGTATCAAGTCCTGGTTTTCATAAACACTTTTCAAAATCCTCTGAACCAACAATGCGTCTTTCCTCTCTCACTCTTTTTTTATCGTTGAGGTGAATTTAATTTGTTTTAGGTGAGCTTCAGCAAAGATGAAGCTACACCCGAAATCAACACAGAAAGGGTTAACAAATAATTGTAACGCACCTCGATAAATAAAGTGGAGATATTCTTCTTCCTCCTGATCCAAAACGTTACTTCTTCCTGTCTTATCTCAATCTCAAAACGTGTAAAACCTAAGAACTCGGTTAAAAAAGTCATCTGAATGTTCAAGTATAACAACAATCGTCTACCAGCAAGATCGGGCTCAGTTCTCTCTACTTCTTTACACTGAGCTCAAGTCTTTTTATACAAATAAATAACCTTAGTTAACTTACATCAATCCTTAGACTGATGATGATCTGAAAAAAAACTAAAAGAAATGTCTCACAGTTGTTTCCATTAGTTAGTAATTCAAGAACACTTGGTTTTATAGAAGAGGATTAGAGCCACAACATTTTTTTTTACAATCCTGACATTTTCCTTAGAATTCAGATTATTTTCAGAATCAGTATTCTGATTAAAAAAAATGAAAAAATCCGAACATTTTGGAAATCAGACTTTTTTCTCAGAATTCCGAGATTTTCAGATTTTTTTATTTTTCAGAGTTTCACATTTTACACTGAACTCTGAGATACAAATAAATACATGTTGAGATAAGATGTCACACGTGGCCCTAATCCTTTCCCGTACAGTTATTGAAGGTGGGGTAGGTGAGAATGGAGAAACCAGCTCGAGTGCGGTAGAATTTGAAAATACACAACCGAAAAAAATCTGCCGCTTCCTTCAGACTTCCTCACAGAGCCCCTCCTCCAACACACACGAACGCGCACATGACCAATGAGGGCACGAGATAAGTTTGTGCACAGATGGAAGGCTGACAGGCAGGTAGGCCATCCAGTTATCTGCCGCGGGCCGAAGGAGATAATTGGTATAGCTTTTTGCAGCGCCACGGCTTCCACAAATGAAATATTTGTATATATTTATTGTCAAAGCATTTGATGTATTCATTGCCATCGGGATGTTAAGAGCAATATAACAAAAAGTGTTTCTGAAGGTAAATTACCTACCCTAGCTTTAAGTGTATGATAATGAAATAAATTAATCAAACGCAATAAATTATTTTTCTTGTCAATAAATATGTCCTCGCCGACTTCTACTCAGCTTAAGAAGAAAAAACATTGTCCAGCAACATTTGAATCTATCAGTGCTATCAATCACAGCATTAACAACATCCTGATTAGATTTGTGGTTTCCCACAATACCCGCTTTAGAGTGAGCTTTAGATTTATGACCACTCCCTGAGGGTATTAATATCCATCAGTCAACACCGTAGGCCGTTTGAAAGCGAACATTTGGCACAGCCTCGCCGGATTACCAGATATTAAAAGAAAGACTTGGGTGCTTCACTCCATCCGATCCACGGGTTGAATCTCATGTTGGATTTTGTTTTTAGGAATGTGTTACTGCATCGGGTTTCTCCTGGCTGAAGTTACACAGGAGGCTCTTGGCGCCGTTCTGCCATGAATTCAGAGTCTCCAGAGGGGTTTTTCCATCCTGCAGGAGAGAGAGAAACACTCATCAAACCTGGAACACTGGAAGCATTTGCATTGGATTTATTGTTGTCGATGAGTAAGGTCTTCAGCCCCATTGATGGCCTGTAAAGTGTGTTTCTGATTACATACGATGGCACTTTTATTTTACAATAAGCAGTATTTTATTAAACTGTAAAACATTTGATTTAATATATTTGTTCTGCTTTTAGGTCATTTTGTTCTTTTTTTGCATGTATATGGTTTACTTACACCTATCGGTCACTATTATCTTGAACTATTTTATTTGTGTTTCTTTATGCATTTGTATTTATCGTTGTATGTCTAATATATGCATATGGTCAAATCAAACTGATGGCCTTGCTGAATATCACATCATTTCACATTAAGAAATTATGTTTCAATTGCAGGCTGACATGTACGGAGCCCTGGAGGGTTCATAGAGAGAAAAATAAATAAAACGTGGCCACGTTTTACTTTCTCGTGCGCACGCTTTAGTAACTCGTGCGCACGAGTTACTAAAGCGTGCGCACGAGTTACTAAAGCGTGCGCACGAGTTACTAAAGCGTGCGCACGAGTTAATAAAGCATGGCCTCGTTTTGTGTGTGTGGGGGGGGGGGCATTTGTTTATGATAGTATCGTTCGTTCCGGTGCACTCCGGCCGGACTATAGCAACATCGAGATTAAGATTAAACACAATTTCTTTCACTTGGGAATACACTTAACTATGGGGAACCAGATTTGTTTAAAGTACTGTTCGTGGTAATTTGAAAACAAATGCCGGTGGTGTCGGATACACACGAACACGCACACAGAGCGGAGCTGAGCACACACACACACACACACATCATGCGCCCCCGGTGACAGGACATCTCCTTCATAAAGCGAGGGGGGAATACTCTGGTAGTTCGATGTGTGTATAGGTGTGTGTGGTTAAACGTAGCAGCCTCGATCTCTATCAGCGGTTCTAATGAAGGGAAACGCAGTGAAGAATGGTAACAGTAAAAGGCACAGCTCTTTGCAGCTGGTGCTGCTCTTCTCAGATTCTGCTGAGTTACACGTTACTGCCTCCAGTACGACGAAGCCAGTTCAACAGACCCTGGACCTGGACATGTTCGATTTACCCGGCTTAACTGCACCCTAACAAACCGCGATGTCGATAAGCGGTCCTACGAAGCTGGTTATCAACTCAGTAAATCAACCAGGGTTTTCTCTGTCCGGCTGAGAGGCGCGCTCACGTGAAAGGGACGGGGTTAGCAACATTTGACCAATCACCAAACATGGAGACGCGTGCTGACAGCGCAGCGTCATATTCATGAAATGAATAGTGTAAATAGCAATCCTGCTTCGTAGTACAGGGCCACTGGTGCCGCAGAGATTTCATAAAGTGAAGGAGTGTTCCTTCTATAAAACAGCTGTGGGCAGATACTGTGAGTCACGGACAGGACATCCCTCAATTTACAATAAAACGAGGCCTACGCTTTATTAACTCGTGCGCACGCTTTAGTAACTCGTGCGCACGCTTTAGTAACTCGTGCGCACGAGTTACTAAAGCCTGTGACCGCACGAGGAAAGTAAAACGGGGCCCACGTTTCTATTTTAATTGTTTTCTCTCTATGAACCCTCCAGGGCTCCGTAGACATGCATTAAACCACGTAGTTCGGGAACGTCTGTGTTTCCTAACCAATGCCGTACTGCCACACTCCAGAGCCCTTCAAACTGCAAGTTCCTTAACTGGCCACTTGAGGCTGTATTGAAAAGTGAGGGAATCTCAAAGACCCCCATGTGAAAATGATAAACTTTACAGCAGAAATAAACATGTTTTCAGCTCCAACAATAAACAAGTTTTGGTCTCAAAAGCTAATTTCACCCAAAAAGACAATTAAAACGGATTAAATATCTTACACTTACGCATTGTGATTTGTTGTGGTGGGGGACTGTATATGTGGTCTTCTGATGTCGAAATGTTACAATAAAATATCATTTAAATATACATTTGATCAGTGGAAGCATGGATGGGTTGTCGTGTACTTACAGAGTTCTTTGTGGAGAGACTGGCTCCGTACATCATCAGCAGCTTGATCATCTTGAATCTGTTTATTCTCACAGCGTCGTGCATGGGCGTGTCTCCGTCCTTTATTCAGGGAGGAGGAAATCAATCAGGGAAGATGTCTTCGTTATGAGTTCACAAATAAGTATTTTCAGAAAGATTGACCTATTCGTGGTACGTCTATTTTATGAAATATTGAAGGTTAATTCATAACAAATGTGCTTTTATGTGCACAAATAGCTTGAACAAATCGATTGTGCAGTAGATTGTCTCGTGGGATCAGCTTCATGTTTCGCTGCAGAAGATTAACATTTTACATATCTAATTTAATATTCCATTCCCACTCTCTAAATGTAAATAATATCCTGCTTTGTATTGTGTCTAAGGCCCTTTAATAGAGTATTGTATTATTAGTAGTATTCTAGTATTGTTTATTTCTACGCTTTAATTTCTACTTATGTGCAATGCCTTGTGTTTGTTTTGTTTTTTTTATGCTGCTGCATTGCAAACATTTCAACATTTTGGATCAATAAAGTACCTCTTATCTATCTTATCTTATCTTATCTTATCTTAAATGTAGAACTCGTGTTGTGTTTCCTTACCCTGTCCTTGGCGTTGACGTCGGCTCCGCAGTGGATCAGATGCTCGGCGCACTCACAGTGTCCGGTCCGCACAGCGACATGGAGAGGAGTGCTGTTCAACTGAGGAGAGGACAGGCTTTCAGTTCTCTCCATTCATGCAACACACACATATATACTGTGTGGATATAACTGGAGATAAATCAAAAACCGGTGTTTGTGTGTGCTCACCTTGTCTCTGTAGGTGACCTTTGCCCCCTGGTCCATGAGGAGCTGCAGGGCCGGCAGGCTGCCTCCTCTGCAGGCCCAGTGCACCGCTGTGGCCTCCAGCTGAGACACAAAACACACTATCTTATGAACATATAGGTTCATCTACTAGATTATAAACAACCCTCTAACTCACCAACTCACCAACCAATTAACAAATTAACCAACCAATTAACCAACCAAACAACCAACCAACAAACAAACAAATAACCAACCAACCATTCCCACTTAAAGTATTACCCTACAGAGCAGAACAGCTGACAGAGAAGAGATAACATCTGATCCTTTGCAACAAACACTAAATGCTCTTTTAGGTTTTACTAACACTGTATTCCTGCTGAGTTTTAAAATGTCTCACCTTGTCTTTTTTGTCGATGGTGGCTCCGGCCTCCAGGAGTCTCTTCATGACGTCCACGTGTCCTTTGAACGAGGCTTTGTGCAGCGATGTCCTCTGGAACTGGACATTTGATACATAAAGAATATTAGATCAATGATAACAACGATTAACTAATTACTTATTATTATTTTCTTCTGAGTGATGCTCACATGGTCGGCTGCATTGGGGTTTCCTCCGTCAGTCAGGTACTTCTCCACCAGCGGCATCTTGTTGTCACTGGCTGCA